CCAGCTTTGAATGGATAAACCCAGCTTTGATTCAATGGCCATGAAGGTGGTGTCGTAACACACCGTGGACCATTAAAAGTATGACAGATGCCAAGAAAGTCTCCATCCATAACGACTCTTTGTGCCTCTTGTAACACACCGTGGAGCATGACAAGGCACTACAGATGCCACGAAAGTCTCCATCCATAACGACTCTTTGTGCCTCTTGTAACACACCGTGGAGCATGACAAGTCACTACAGATGCCATGAAAGTCTCCATCCATAGAGACTCTTTGTGCCTCTTGTAACACACCGTGGAGCATGACAAGGCACTACAAATGCCACGAAAGTCTCCATCCATAGAGACTCTTTATGTCACTGGGTCAAGGCTTCTGCAGCTGAGTAGGTGTGAATGCCCTAGTGCAATGACTTTTCCACTATAAAACCCTCATGCATAGGTGTCTTTTGTGTAACTCATCTCTCTCTATATTTCTTGTACTTTCTAATCGTCCAATAAGGAGAAGTGGAGGTGACCACTGGCAGTTCCAGTCACAATCATGCATGTAGGTGGCCTTGGGACCATTGGTCATTAAACTGTGAATCCCAGGGCAGCAGAGGAGTTCACCAGCACCCCAGGGAACTGAGCAACCCTGTTTAGGACTGCACTGTTCACCCTTTTCTTTAAAGGGAAGTGGCTAGAAAAAGGTGCCCCAAACATTGCCTGCCCTACAACAGCTGGCAGACCATCTACCTAATGGTAGAAAATCTACAAGAAAAATAAAACTCACACTAGGAACATGGAATGTTCAATCAATAGTAGACAGAGAAATGCAATAAGACCTGAAAGGAAAACAGCTCTGATTTCCAGAGAGCTTGCCCATTACAGCATTGATATTGAGTGAGACCAGATTGACCAAAGAAGGCTTTGTCAGCAAACTTGGAGATGGTTACACATTCTTCTGAAAAGAAAAAGCATCATACGAGGACAGAATTCATGGAGTTACCTCTTCTAAAACAACTACCAGATCTTCCAACAGGCATACAAAAATGTCTTATGAAACTACGATTCCCTGTGAACCCCTCATGCCACGTCACCATCATCAGTGCATATGCACCCACTTTAACAAACCCAGATGAAGACAAAGAACTATTCTATTTTGACTTAGATATCATCATCAAATCCACTTCAGCAAGTGACAAACTCATCTTGCTAGGTGACGTCAACACCAAGGATTAGCAAAGACATTTGGGATCGATTTGTATGCTGTTCAGTTATATAGTTTATCTTGGTGTAATTACAAGCTGTAATTTTGAATGTTGCAACAGCAGTTCATGAATCCAAAGACTTGATGTCTGCCAGAAGTCTTTGATTCTCCAGGCAAGCAATGGGTGTACATAATCAGGTGTTTAAGTTATTAACTATGGGTAAGAACATTCTTTTTAAATATTTGCATCTATGAAACTGCCATTCTGTGGGTTATAAGCTTTTGGAGTTAGTGAAAGTTGATCGTCATGTTACCTTGAGTTTGAGAGAAAAAAGTAACACTTACTTTGCTATGCCTCATTAGCAGATTTTTTGATATTAGGTATTTCAGTTGTCCAGAGACCTCTAGAATAATACTAGTTAATAACAGTAGTAAAAACTGAACAGGATACCAATCAGAAATGCATCAGTATTTTTTGTAACCATCAACAGAAATTGTCAAGCTCACAAGTCTGACTTCAGACACAGTTACCTAAGCCTAGTCTGTATGGTGAAGCTCACAAGTCTGACTTCAGACACAGTTACCTAAGTCTAGTCTGTATGGTGAAGCTCACAAGTCTGACTTCAGACACAGTTACCTAAGCCTAGTCTGTATGGTGAAGCTCACAAGTCTGACTTCAGACACAGATACCTATGCCTAGTCTGTATGGTGAAGCTCACAAGTCTGACTTCAGACACAGTTACCTATGCCTAGTCTGTATGGTGAAGCTCACAAGTCTGACTTCAGACACAGTTACCTAAGCCTAGTCTGTATGGTTGAGTATTATATGTTGATGCTATATAAATTAGAAAACATTTACACAGAAATCATTTTTCTGATTCTCCAGTGGTTTGATGTTTATATATATGATTTTTTTTTAAGAATAATGGCCCGTGAACCGTAAGAAATATAAATTCAACTATTAGAAACAGTTGCCTAAGAAATATAAATTCAACTATTAGAAACAGTTGCAACATCTCTTCTATTGCTGGGCAAGTTCTTTTTTGGATTATTTAGTAAAAAAGAAAACTCCACTTAAACAGTTAATGATAACGTAAGCATTTTATTTCTCTAACTACAGTTTCTACAAGCACAAATGCAACTTCTAAAAGTTCCACATAACTGATACTAGTAGGCCTAACTTCACAAACAACACTTAACAGTCCCTTGCTAACTTTCTATACCTTTCATGAAAACAAAATATAAAGTGCTGAACTAATTAGCTGACTCAATAATCAGTCAACAATCTACACACATGATTCTCACTTAAGTTTCGTTTTTATTCATTCAAATCATTACCTAAACTTTCAAAACAATTCCAGGTGTTAAGCCACATGCTCATCACATGGCATTACCACTCCCCACTTGATGAAACAACAATACAAACATGTAAGTTAAAAAAGAAATATAAAAATCATACAGAGATCATTGTCATACAGTTAATCTGTAAACAAAAAATGGGGGAAACTTGTACACAAATAGATGTTTTAATGTTCACGACATTTCGGACTGGAATGCCTTTCCTCTGGTGATTTTAAACTTTGATGTAAGAGTGCTGAAAAAACATAGCCTACAACAATATTCATATCTTTAGTTTTAAATGTAGAAGAACACTTTCTAATTTCTGTCAGAAAAACTGTTTGAGTACATATCTTTTCTTAGGCATTTGTCTCCTTAGATCGAGTTAGTTTTGTCATGTAGTAATTGTCTGATAATTAAATATAAATTTTATCATAATTGTGATTTCATTTTATGTATTTACAGCTGCCAAGCCAGAAAAAGTAGCGAATCGTTGTCCTCTGTGTCACCAGAACATATCGCCTGGTGAAGCAGGATGGCAGGCTCATTTGATGAAGGAAGATGGTTGCACTTTTAACCCACGTCGTAAGGGAAATACTTCGATGAAAAGAGGTCAATATGCTTTGAAGTAGAAGTTTTTATCATGGTTATAAATATTTTTTAAACTTTAAAAATAGTACAATGATTTTATATTGTTCAATCTACATATTTTGGTGTATACTCTTACATCAGGATTTAACCAAGAAACATTTGTTACATTTCAAAAACTCTTGATTCTTTATATACAGTTTTTACAAGTATAGATTCACAAGTTAGCATCTAGTGATAACATGGGTGGTGTACACAATAATTAAGGCTACCAGCTGGTAGTAACACAGTTAGTATATACACAATGGACAGGTACCAATATGAGGATTACAAGTAGTAATGATAGTTAATTTACTTTTTAAGGTTAAGTGGTATGTATATGAATGACAGTTTAGCCAGCTGTTGATATCATTAGTGGCATGAACATGACTGACTGTAGGAGCTGTTGATGTCATTAGTGGCACTTGTGACTGACAGTAGGATCTGTTGATATCATTAGTGGCATGAACATGACTGACTGTAGGAGCTGTTGATATCATTAGTGGCATGAACATGACTGACTGTAGGATCTGTTGATATCATTAGTGGCATGAACATGACTGAGTGTAGGAGCTGTTGATGTCATTAGTGGCATGAACATGAATGACTGTAACACCTGTTGGTGTCATTAGTGACATGAACATGACTGACTGTAGG